ATTAAATTCTTTGCATTTACCATGGACACCATGCTCAAAATTTTTGAAATTAATAAATAATTTTAATTCAAATATTTAAACCAATTTATTTGCGCCCCATGTGCATTCTGTGGTTATTTTATATATCCTGAAAAATGTGAATAGTTGTTTTACGATCCAAATTTTTATATCTACTTTTACAAGCTTATCCTGAATCAAATTCTGAATCACTATTGATCTTTCATGTTAATCTTCCAAAATGTATTGCAATATGTTTATCTTGTAAAAAACCTACAAGTAGATATACCTTTCTTTTTCTTCATCCTATTCCAAATAAAATTCAAGCTGTACCCTTGAATAATCGAATATTTTTATCTCCTGTATTCATGCATTGTTCTTTAGAAAGAAATTCAGGATATAGCGCAATATATACAGAATATAAAACTCTAACTGGAACAATGAATTTTTCAAAAAACATGCATTCTTTGATATTATATTCTAAAATGATCGGTGCCTATCTTAAAGATAATTCAAATAATTCTAATACTTGGCTCAATAATACTTTAATTCATACCACAAATTGGTTAAAACAAACTAATTCATTTTTAAAAATTACTCTCACCTTTTAAATTCACCTCATTCTCAAATTGCCAATTCTTTCCCAAGAGCTTTTCATCAATCTGACGATAATTCTGCCCACCCTTTTTATCTAATGATATTGTAGTCCCAAATATTAATTTTAACACTGAAATTCACAATGAAGATTATCATTATTCACATCTAATTGCAGGATTTGTCAGAACTCCAAACAATACTTTGCTACCAATATCTGTAAATAATCCAAATTTGGAAGCTTTATTATTTCTTGATTTATTTCCAAATGGAAAAGGACATTATTACACGATAACCATTTTAGATCAACTTCCGCTCACAAAGAAACCTATTCTAAATATATTAAACAAAGAATACTCAATATTTATTCATATTTTAGGTTCCATCATAAATGGTTGGCATAGTCATATTTACAATTAGAAAAATTACGTAACCATCAAAATAATCAACGCATATGGAGACAATAACAAGCTGACAAAACATATCGTCCACTAACTGCTGCACAGCTTATTCGAACTTCTAATTATTCTAATAAGCTAATAATAGACGAATCATTAACAACCACCTTACCAACCTTCATTCGAACTGGTGAATCTTATTTTCATGAAAAATAGCATCATGTCAATACAATAATTTCCTCATATGAATTACCTTCAATTTTTCTTACACTGACAATGGCCGAAAGTCATTGAAAACACTTACATAAAATTTTAAAATCAACAGATAATCACCATACAATTCCTATAAATAGACCAGTACATACTACATTACTTTTAATACATCGCTTTTAACAACTCAAAAAATTTTCTATCATTCAAATTGGGTAACGTAACTCAATTTTTTGAAAGTGTAGAATTTCAAAATTGTGGTGCTGTACATAAACATAGCATATATTGGGTAACAAAGTCAATTGAACAAATTATTGATGAAAATATTATAAGATCTGACTTACCAGATCAAATTTTAGAATCAGAATTATATGCAAAAGTAAAAGCAAATCAAATACACATTTGTAATTCAAAATGTGAAGGTTTCGCTGCTTTAGGACATACTTACAAAAAAAGATTTCCCCATCCTTTTTCATCATGTACTTATTTTAATAATAAAACTCAAACTTACATTATAAATCACAGATCGAACGCTGATAAATCGGGTATCTTCCCGATTGGTCACTATTTTTTGATTAGCAATCAATAGATAGAAATCAGTAGATACTACAATTGGGTATGAATCGGTTAACACCATAATCATAATTATTAGATAGAATTACATAAATCGGGTTCCAGCCCGATTTAATACTTATTTTTAAAAATTTATAACTATATGTTAAATAGTAACAAATCGGGTTCAATTAATAATTAGTTATCAATCAGTTTAATTCCCGATTGATGATTATTATTCAATTATAATTTACCGATTGGTTTCTATATTAATAAATTTACCGATTGTTTCCAACTTATAAAATTATTCAATTTACCGATTATTTCCAATTTATAAAATTATTCAATTTTACCGATTGTTTCAAATTTATTAATTTATTAAAGTAAACCGATTGTTACA